AAAATTGCATAAACTGACTTTCAATTAGTATTTATATATGATTTTAGGTTCAGAATGGAGGGTAATACTTTGAGTTTCAATCTGGTGGGTGCTTTTGGGGGCGTTTCTGTGCCAACAAGCTAATCTTCATCCTTCTTCAAAGGTGATGGCAGACCCATCATCCTGCGTTCCAGAACGACTAGCGTTTCGTTTCCGCACAAGTCGCCGTTCCCTTTGATCATTGAATCGGCGCATAAGAAGGCAGACGGGAGTACCAATAACGGTCGCGATTCTAGAGGCCAACGCCTCGGCGTCAAGAAGGGATGAATTGCTCGATGAACGGTGGGATTTAACCGTCGTATGTTCGTTCCAATTTAGCCACAATCAATAAAGATAAAAAAATAGTCAACTAAAGTACAAATGGTTTGGTATTAACATTATAATAAGGTGCGGCTAATTAACTCCATCCGCGGGATTGGGTTTTTTATTTTTATTTTTATGTTTTTAACCTATGCTAATGTTTTTTTTTTATTATTAACTTCTCGATATCTGATAATCACATTAAATTTTAATTAATTCGAAATTGAGTTACGTCATATTACATTTAGGGAAAAACTTTCTCTGAAACACCCTATATACTTTAAGGAATAAATTAAAAATTAGAGTCATTTATTTAACATTTTAAGGACTAAATTGATTAGAATTGAAATATGTGGACTTTATGTGAAATTATGAGATAATTGGAGACTATTTAACTAAATTTACCAAATTTAAACGTGACAATTTATGAACCAAGTCAACGAGGGTTTCTCTATAAGACTTTAAGAAGTCAAATCCTTTTTTCTTTTGAACTTATCCTCTCGAAACCCATGTTCTTTGCATCTTTCTTTTTCCAGTGGTCCCCTGCCTCTTTCTCCCTTCTTTTTCCAGCCAAGATTAACGTGTAGGGCACACTCTCAAGTTGAAATCCCTTCAATTTCGGTAGTTGTCTTCAACTTGGTGCTTTGATTTCCAAGTAAGTATAAGTTTGGTTATGAATTTGGGGTTAGAATTTTGAGTAGTTTAAATTGATGAGATTTGACTCAAATCCTTTGGTTTGTAAGATTTTTGGACATTAAAATTTCATTAGAAATATCTTTAATTTTTGGGGCTTGTACGGGGTGGATAATAAGTTTTTTCCCTTTTCCATACTTGGTTTGGTGTGGATTTTATTGATTAGTACTCATGTTATTG